CTGCTGAGGACAGAAAAGGGTGTCCTGTGTGGACAAAGTGTCCCTGCTAACCTTCTACTTTAAATAAAATAAAACAGTCAGACTTGAAGAAACAAAAAGAAAGCCAACATTCACAAAGAAATTTATAAAAAKCAGAAAATTCGGACCTGCGAGGCCCAAAAGCCCAGATCCGATCCACGGCGTTCTTCCACTTCCATCCCTGCAACAATGTCTCCAGTTGGATCTTTAGTCCAGCAATGTCCTCCAGGGTCTTGAGGCTCAGGTCCATGGTCCTGCCCTCCCTGAGGGACATGTTGATCATCTCCAGAGTYCGGATCAACTCAGAACTTCTCTCCAACAGACTGGTCACCTCTGTGCAGAAAAACTTTATTATTATCTGGATTTTATGGACCTGGTCTGAGGTCCTGATCCAGAACAGGTTTCAGAACCGCTCCTGGATCAGTTCTGCAGGACCACTCAGATTTCTTAGAAACATTTAGTCCAAAACAACAAAGAACATTTAAAGTAAGACCTGACGTCATCCGTGCTTAGACCGAGTCCAAGTCAGAGTCCATGTCCTAATCYGAGTCCAGTTCTGAGTCCAAGTCCCTGTCTGTGTTCGAGTCCGAGCCTCACCTTGTGGTAGTGGGACGGCCCGGACGCTAACGGTGGCCTGCCTGTTGGGAGTGGTCAGGGTAACGAGACCAGCAGRGTCCACCTGTAGGGTGTCGAATACACGGCCCTGAGGAACCTCTTCTTTCACCTAAAAACAAAACAAAGCTGGTGTTTCTGACCCGTTTGGTCCCGCTCAGGTTCTGTAACAACCTCTATTCAAGTCATCAAATGAACCTGATGAAGTGCGTGGTCCTGAGGAGACTTGCAGGTCCAGGTCCTGCAGACTCACCTGATGAATAACAGCAACTTTCTGCTGTTTGCCCAGATCCTCGTTGACCATGTCCACCTTCGGGGGACGAACCACCGTCTCTCTGAACGGGATGATCGGCTTCGACACGCTGATCTCGATTTTAGCAAACCTTCACAAACAAACAATTCAACAGGTTACTGRTCCGGTCCGGTCCGGTCCAGTCCCAGACCAGAAAACTGTTTGACTGAGACACAAACTGAAATGGACTCATCACCGCTGTCTCAGGTCGTCCAGGCAGCGCTGCAGGTGGACCTCACCAGCTGTGACCAGAACATGTTCTCCTGTTTCCTGGATCAGAACCTCAGCACAAGGGTCCGCCTGGTTCAACAGACGCATGCCACGCACCAGCTTCAGCATCTGACCTGAACCGGTCCARAACCGAGGAAACGGGTTAAAGCCTCAGTGGTACACAGCTAACAGACTCACATGATCTGTTGAAGAYGAGTTCGAAGATCAGACCGAAGTGGTTCAGAACCAGGTGAGTTCTGCTGGGACCCACCTGGATGTTTGGGTTCTATGGCAACACGTACGATGGGCGTGGCTTCAAAGTTGAGTGGGGTAAAGGGGGGGCAGGCGGGGGAGGTGGACAGGGTGGCAGACTTCAGGATAAAGTCCTCCAGTCCTCCGAGACCTGCAGGACCAGGAGCGTGAGACCTGCATCACTTAATGTTCAGGTTGTAGGACATAAACCCAGAAGTTCATGAACAGATCAAACAATCCTTTGTTTAAAACTGAAAACTGTCTCATTTAYTTTATTTCTGTGATCTTAATGGGATTTACCTGCTTAAACAAAGGCAAAATAAAAATAATAATAAAACATGAGTTTGATTATCTGTCTCCAAACAACTCTTTAAGAAGTCTTCAGTTGATCGAAGTGCTGCTGTTTTTCCTCCACTGTCACCAGTGAGCTGCTCAGGATGGAGACTGAAGAAGTGAAGGGTTGGTGCAGTCTGCTGCTCCTGTTCACTTATTGTTTTTATGTACCGTCATCTCAGACAACATATGCTGGAGCTTTATAAATAAACTCAACTGAATTACTGAAGCGTAGTATTGTCCGTGCTGTGTGTGTATGTGTGTGTGTGTGTTACTGTTTATATTGTGTATACACTAAATATATATATTTTTTTTTAATTATTGTTTTTTCCTTTTTGATCCATTAAGGGTATATTATGCATTTCATTTTTTATATTGCTTGAAATAAACTAACTAATTGTAAAAAAGCCCCAGAAGTGAAGAGAACCACAGGACGGACTCATTTATTTTTACCAAGAATGTTTCCTGCAGGAACTTCCTGCAGCTCCTCCAGCTCTCGACCCATCAGAACATAAAGGTTCTCCACAGAACAGCAGGACAGGTGAGGAACCTCAGAGACACAGTCTGAAGCTCTGCAGCCTCCTGGAAGCTGAAACAAACATCACAAATCAAATCTTTTCATTCATTTCATCAGATTAGATATTAAAATATACCTTCTAAGACATATTTTCAGGATAACTATCATTTAATTACATGATGAGCATAATTCTAACAAAACCAGTGTTTGTGTTCCTTCCATCACAGCAGGGGGTCAAACTCATTTTCACTGAGGGCCACATGAGCGTGGTGGTGGCCCTCGAAGGGCCATTTGTGGTTAACTTTGATGTTTCGTGTTTAACTTTGATTAAACTGTTTTAACAAGTCCTCAGGCCTCGAGTTTGACACGTGCATTAGAGGTTAGGGGTTTTTAAGTAGAACCTTTCCAAGAGAAATCAGACAAAWATCAAAAACAAACTTCTGAACATGTTAGAGTCCTCAGCAGAAACAAGAATTATGATCATATTAATCCAGTTCTTGCTTCTTTGCACTGACTCCTGTTGTAGTTAGAGTTGATTTAAAGTTTGTACCATAAGTCTTTAAATCAATGAACGGACCTGAAACCATTTGTTATCACTGACTTACCAAGTCCTTACACCCTCTGAGCCCCCTCAACCTACCCTGTACCCTCTTGATGCTCTATGTGACCCTCCTGAACCCTCTCTGCACCCCCCACCTGTACCCGCCTCAGAGTCCTTCACAGCAGAGACGCTGCTGGTTGTTTTGGAACACAGATGATCTCAGAGACACACAAAGACTATGTCTTTCCTCTGAGGAAGACAGAGACCTCGAGTACTGAAGGTCTAACTCTACAGATCTACAGCYAACTAATGAGCCTACAGCAGTGTGTTTACCGAGCGCAGGCCCTGGGCAGGGTCGTACTTTGGTCCCAGAACAAACAACCTTTGACCTTTCTTCACCATCCCACTGTAGACCCGAGCAAACGCCACGAAGACCTCCTTTGGCTCCTCTTCCTCTGAGTCTTTTAAGGTCAAAGTTTCCATGTGAGCTGAAAAAGAAAAACCATGAGACCAAGTCAAGCTTTGCTTCTACAGCTAATTTAAAGACCAGCACCAGGTTTCCTCTTCTTCTTTAGGCTGTTCCCTCTACAGGGCTTTCCACAGTGACCAACATGATGTTTAACCAAAGCTAATCTCTATTCTGTGTTTACAGATTATTATGAATGAAATAAATGACTAAATAATAAAAAAGGATAAAAATTCTCCTGCAGGAGAAGGATGTAAGAAAATATTGATAAGCTAAAAAATCTTGATTTTTCTTTTCTTGACACCACATCAATTCTCTAAAACACTGCATCAATTTTTAATTGTGGTTTAAAATGTAAATTTCTATGCCAGAAGTTGATTTTTGTGTTGTAGTTTAGCCTCCGGCCACCAGTTGGCAGCAGTCAGCCAGGTATTTAGCTCCTTCACGTTAGCATTGTGAATAAACATAATAAACCAAGATGTTCTGTATTTTAAGCCAAACTGGAGGGTCCCGTATACGACGCTCTCTCTCCTCCTCCAGACGGTTAGCTTGAAGTTCATTTTGTTTTKTGTTCTGTCTATAGTTTGTAAAGTAACTAGTGTACCTGTACTGTACTGATGCTGCTGCTGTGACACCTGAATTTACCCTCAGTCAAACAAAAAAGGCTCGTTCTATTCTATTCTATTCTATTCTATTCTATTCTATTCAGAGTCTTTTTGGGGAGAGCAATGAGCCCACTAATGAGGCCCCCCATGGGGACTGGGCCACACAGGTGTAGTGAGAAAGTGATGACAGGTAAATAACCCTGACCTGAGTTGTCTCCAGAAGTTGGTTCTGGGCAGGKGACCTCTGACCCAGTCCGATCCGAGGCCATCCTCTCAGCGTGTCTCTGCCGAGCCAGTTCCCGGCGCTGAGCGATCTCCTCCGAGTTCAACGGTCTAAAACACAAACAGCTGATCAGGAAGCACAGAACCAGAACCAGAACCAGGTACATCCTTTTTTTTTTACCATGTCCTGTCCAGCAATGTGAAAGTCAGAACTGATGTCTGAGTGTCCAAATGAAGCCCAACAGTTTGACTTTCACAAGTGCASCATAATGGCATTTCACCATGATGCTCCACTTGATACATATTAAAACCTTTATTATGAATTCTTTAGGGATTCATTTCTTATAACGAACAAAGGGACTGAAAAAAGTTAGCAAAGAAGAGAAAAGGGACACACACACACACACACACACACACACACACACACACACACACACACACACACACACACACACA